CCATGTTTGGATTCAGTCAAAGATACATGGCATGGTTTGCGGGGTGTTGCACCCCAAGTCTCTGGGTCTGGGTGGGGCCCGAGACTGCATTTTAACACATTCCCAGGAGATGCTCCTGCTGCTGGCCGGGGCCCACACGCAAGGCCCTCTGCTACACAGCAAGCAGAGGCAGGGAGCCATCAATCATTCTGCTCTGGGTAGTGCTACATTTAGTGGGTTACTGGATCCCAATTTGTGGTAGAGAAATTGTAGATGATATGGGGAAAAGAATAAGGAAAATGATCAAAAGGATGATATAAAATAAATCAGAAAAAATGATCTAAATAATGGAGATCATTTTACTTGAAAAGAAAAACAATATTGTTTAACCAGTATTTTCAATGGATAAATGTTGACCGTGACTGAAGTGTTCTCTACATCTCCATGGGCTGGGCCAAGGTCAACAGAATTAGATGAGGAATATTAAAACACTTTTAGGCATTGAGGGAAGTGCAGAACTTTAGTTTCAAAGATATCTTGACTTAGATTCAGTATAGAAAATTCTACTCCATAAGTTTTCATCTAATTGTTAGATTCTATAGTCTCCAAGAATAAATATTCTCATAGTTCCAAAAGGTTCTGGAAGAAGTAAGTATATAGTCGGTCCAGAACCAATTTTCCCTTAGGCTTTAGCTTTGCAGCCATGACGTCTGCTGAAGGGAGGCCAGCCTCCATCCTGTGTGAGAGGTTTACACTTTCCTCAACCCAAAAAAGAGCCCCATAGATTCCAAAAGTCTGGTGAGAAACACAAACCCACGCCTTTGAGAGAATGCCAATAAGATGTTCTTTTACCTTTTCAAATTTTCAGATAGTCAAATACCAGGGAAATCCAGGCCCTCGTAGATGTTTTCATTTCTGCTCCAATCTTATTTTCAGTTGAAAGCTGGTACTTAATGTTACTATTTGAATTTTTATGATTGAAAATGTCCTAGATTTCTTCTGTAATTTCTTCTGTATATTTTGTACCACGGAGATATTTGTTATATTTTAAATTCACTTTACCTATGTACTTTGACATACTTCTATTGGAAAAAAAATATTCTCATCTCCTTGGGCAGAAAAGACTCATAGTGGATGTAATGACCATTGTAACTATTATCAATAGTACTTTGATGCTAAAAAGTCACAAAAGATCACAGATAAATTTCAAACCCAAGGTGAGATATTTTAAAATTTCTCTGATGTACCTGGCTGGAAAAAGGTTGCTTTAGGATTAATTCAGTTGAATTTTAGAACATAGAGACCAAAATTTTTCATCTCAATTATCTCAAGACATTTATGCAAACACTTGCAGCTTCCCAAATACAAACCACATGCATCACAGAGCAAATGCTCCTTTTTGATAAAATGAAACCTTTGTTTCTAGGTATGCTCCCAGAGGCATGTAGAAACATGCACACATATTTATTCATATATACATACATATACCTATTTATATATAGACATATAAACTTTATCAGAGAATTGCCTTAGGATAATGGTAAGTAGGATTTTTTAAAAAAGATTTTTTAAAAAATTTTTTTAGAGAGAGGGGAAAGGAAGGAGGGAGAAAGAAGGGAAGAGAAACATCAATGTGTGGTTGGTTGTCTCTCACGTGTCCCCCAACGGGGGGACCTGGCCCAAAACCCAGGCACATTCCCTGTCTGGGAATGGAAGCAGTAACACTTTGGTTCTCAGGCCAGCACTCCATCCACTGAGCCACACCAGCCAGGGAGGTAATTAGGATTTTAAAAAGTGAGAACATAAGCATAGAATAAACATATTTACATATCTTTACTATTAGATACTAGGAATTCTAGGAAAAGTTCAAAGTTCATATTTGCAGAATAGAGACGAATTATCTGTGTATTAATCTAAATATATCAATGAAAAATATATATTTGCATGTTTTAAAAGATTTAGAGTGATAAAGGTGTGGCAGTCATCCTTGTGCTAACTTACCAGAGGTTGTCTGCAGGCCACCTCTGCCAGCAGCCCCCCTGGGAGCTGGTGAGAAGAGCAGCAACGCTCCCGACCTATTGAAGCAGAATCTGCATTTTGACGAGATCGTTAGGTGACAGGCATGCCCTTTCAATATTTAAAATTCAAGGATCTCTAGTCAAAATCATCGACATTTTTTTCTGCAGTGTTTGTTAACGGACAACAGATCTGTCTGCTAATCCAAACCATGTTTTTACTTCTTTGACGTATATAAACTACTTTTGATTTTAAAAGTTCTAACCAGATTTGAGGGTTCCAATTAGATATCAAAACCATCCAATAATCAGTAACATGTTTAAAGGGGACAAGAAAGCAGTCTGTCTCTTTATTATACCAGGCATATAATCAAAGTAGAGATGTAGGCATTGGTTAATATATTATCATTTATTTAATATGTAATTTAAATTTGATATGCTATTAAGTTATCTCAATTTTATGTTACCATGAAATAGGTCGATCATTATTTTAATAATGGATGAGCATTTCTTTAAGAAAAAAGCTTAAGAAGTCTCCAAGATATTTTATTGGCACTACACATCTTTATTTCTCATCTTTTCATTTAAACTTGTTTAAATCCTGCTTTATATTCTGGGGACTCTAAGACCATTCATGCTCACCAAGTCAGTTGAGGAATTCTCGCCTCCTGAACTTAGCTTCCAGGAAAGAAGGTGCTCTGCTCCTCCCCCTCCCCCAACTCTGCCTCCAGGTACCAGGGAGGAAGATGGCCCCCTTTACAATGAAGAAACAAACTTGACTGATACAAAGAAATAGTTACAAGGATATAGCCACAACCTGGATAGCGAGCCTCAGCTAAGGATTTAGGTATAGTAACTGAATTGTCCAAGATAACTGTTTCTACTGGAAATAACAGAAATTCCTTGCTAGCTGAAAGTTTTGATCACAGGAAGTAAGAGTGCCTGCTACCTCAGGACTGTTGGAAATATGACTGTTTTACATGATGTATTTAGTTTTGTTGTAAAGTTAATGTTATTGAAGCTATATATGTATACAGAGGTATACACACATATCTACCTATATATATCTATATATCAAGACATGTGCACATTTCTTACTAATTAACCTCACAGAAACAAAGAAGCTTTGTAGGAAACCACATGAACTTCAAAAAAACCTTCACAATTTAAATATGTTATAGTTGAATTTGAAAAATCTTAGCTGAAATCAGCTGTTTCAAAAACAGGGGTAAAAAGCAATCATTCAACTAGTATTCATAAGATCATCACATACCGATGCATGTGTATGATATAGAGTTTAAAATAATAAATGGAGGGAAAATCACTATAGTTAAGAGTGCCTTCACCTATTCGCACTGAAATACTGCATTGTGCCTCTGGGGACTGGCCTTGGCTCCAAAGAGGGGAAATGCTTAGTGCAGAAAAGGATGTTAAAAACAGACTTTTTGTACACAGGACCACACTGATAGCCACATCACATGTGATAATAAGCAGCTTTATACCTTAATTGTAGGACTAAAAGGTACTGAGGATAATGTGTTATAAATCAAGAGGGAGTAAGGCAGCAGTGCCGAAAGGAGGCAGGTATAGACATTTGAAAACCTCGGTTCACATCCTGGCTCTTCCCTTGTAGCTGTGGCCTCAAACATGTTTCTTAGCCGTGCTTAGCCTTAGTTGTCTTGCCTGTAATAGTGTGTATTGTGAAGACAGTAACACAGCAGGTAAAACACCCAGCAGGGGGGCCTGACCCTCAGCATGTGGTGAAAAGCAGCATATATATTATTATGATAATTCTAATTGAGAGACCCACCATTTCTACAAAAACATCATTTATTGCTTTCAAAGCTCCTTATGAATATTTCCCTTCCCATGACTTACCTTAATTATTTCTAGCATGGAGATGCTATTAACTTTAAGTGATTAGAAACAGGCTAATCATAATCAATCTATCAACTCAATCACATGTTGAAGAAATCTTTTAAATGGCATCAGCTTGATTAGATTGATCATAAGGTAATATGCATTGAAAATCCCCTCCCATTTCTGAAATATTTTAACCTTTCTCCTGCTTCTACCAGTAGCCTAAGGGAGGAGACACAGGTTCAAGAGAGGATTTATCCATCATTGTGCTACATAAGAGGGGGCTTTGGAGATATGGCATCCGCATGGGGATAGCCAAAAGGAGCCTGCAACCACCATGGGCGGAACACGGGGGACACACCTATTAGGTTATTTACCGCAAATGGTTCTCGAGGGACCCTTATACTGGTCTCACCATTTGAAAGGGCTAAACTGACGTGCTGTACAGAAATTCTCCCACTGGTTGTGTAGATACAGCTGTGAATCCGCTGCCTGTGGAAGGAAGGTGTCTGTATCCAGACCATCTTCCTGCACTAATGGAAATGCTGCTCAGACACAATGATTTTACAATAAGTTTAATATCAGTTTTCCTGTGTAATTTCCTCATGAAACTTTTGTTCTCTGAAAACAGGCAATATGGTTTTTATTGCATTTAAATTGTTCTTTTGGTGAAAAGAAGGAAAAGAAGTTCATATTTAACTTTTTATGAACAGCCACTGGTGAACTTACATGATATATCACAGTCAGGTATGGGTGTTATGCACTCACAAACAAATTAATCATTAAACTAGGAGACCACCTGTTCAAATGCATTTTATACCACTGACAATATAAACCAGAGATACTTGGTTTACAATATTTAATTCTATTTGTCTCAGTCAAGAATAGCTATTAATGCATTCTTAGATAAAGATAGAAAAAGTCATGTTTTTCATATTTTGTGATAGCTTTACATTGATTTCTTTTTCCGAATATACTGAAATAAATTTAATCTACTTTTAAGAGATGTTATTCATTTTTTTTCTTTTGTTTCCTGAAAACAATCAGATTGTAGCTTAAGAAACTACAGGGGTGAATCTAATGAATCCTACTTGACAGGTAAATCAAAACCAATTTTGTAATTCACTTTAAAAGGACATATTAAAAACCTATGTTGAAAAAAAACCCACTTGATTTTGGTACATGGCAACATTAGAAACTAGTGGGCTAGCTAACACAGGCAACCATGCAGAAAGACTTACAACAGTCATAGAAATATCAGAGTAATTCTTGTCAAAAGTAATAGCTGAAAGTAAAAAAAGTATGAATAAGAATGGGTTCTTAGTTTCAGTGTTGGTAACTTATTACTGAGTTCATCTTAACAAAATCAAGTCCCTTCCAAACATAAACATCTAAAATATTTTCATTGGCTTGAAAGAGATTGTATTCTATTCGATACATGCAGCATTAAAAATCTACCTTGACATTTAGAAAAAGAAAAAGCCTGGGAAAAGTAACTTCATTTTCCTCAATAACTCAGTTTTATTTTAAAGTCCAGGTTAAAAAAGTTGGGACCAGTTTACATTTTTATAACATCATGGCTATGTTATATCCCTTCCTTTCTGAGCCACCACCAACCCTCCAAACAAAATATAAAATAAAAACCTTGCCTCCAGATAAAATATAAAACAAACGCCCCACTCCCAAACAAAACAAAACAAAATGTTGAGCAAAGAACTCAATGATATTTTTAAAAGGGTGAAAACACTGGTAACATTATTTTCATTTCAATTACTTAACTCATGGGACTGAAAGCTTCACAAATGCTAAGGGTGCCTGTGGCTCCAAAGAGAATCCAGTATAAAGAATTTAAAGAAAGCATCTCAACCATTGGCCGGGCAGTGGAAGTGCTTGGTAAACGCAGCACTGGGTGCGCAGTAGCCTGCAAGTGGAAGGCTCTACACATCGCTGGGTGACCGTGCTCGCTGGGAGAGGCTGGATGGGATGCAGCCACAACAAACGAGGCAGAGGGCTTTCTGGATCTCTTGGTTTCTGAAAGCATATATGACAGGGTTGATGATAGAATTGTAGGTGGCAGGCAGGAGGGTGGCGTAGGTGTAGATGGAGGGATAGGTGTAATCAGCTATCAAGGAATAGAGGGTGAAAGGCATCCAGCAAGCAGCAAATGTCCCCAGGATGATGGCCAGGGTGGAGACCCCTTTCCGGGTGGTCACGTAGTGTGAGGTGGCCAGGAAATGATGTTGCAGGGCTATCTGGTGGGCGTGCCTCATGACGATCTTACAGATCTGGATGTAGAGCTGAAGCATGAGTGCAAACATGAACAGGAAGGAGATGGAAAGGATGGCCGTGTTGTTCTTGGTGAGAGGTCTGACCACGCTGCAGGTGGACTCGTCTCTGAGGCAGTTCCAGCCCAGGATGGGCAGCAGTCCCAGGCAGATGGAGGTCCCCCAGAGCATGATAAGCATGACATAGGTAAAAGTGACTGTCCTCTCCGAATGGTATGTCAAAGCATAATACAGGGAGAGGTAGCGGTCAACGGTGATGGCCAGCAAGCTGCAGACAGAGGCAGAAAAAGAGGCCACAATGAGTCCAATCGTGACCAGCTTGGTGGCTTCTGACTGGAGCAGGTAGGCGAAAACAAAATTGATGATGAGTCCAATGCCGGCCAGCAGGTCTGCAAGAGCCAGGCTGCCTATCAGCAGGAACATGGGTGCTCGCAGGCTGGGGTTATGGAAGATGATAAGGACCACGATGGCATTTTCACAGGAGATGAGAGTTCCTGAGGTACACAAGACAATGTCCCAGGGGTTGACAACGAGCCCTGGCTCTGGCTCTACAACGGGAACCTGGGAGGAGACAGCAGCCGAGACGTTCTCCGTGGCAGCACCGGCATCTAAGTAATCCCGAAGCAAGCCGCTGAAATTGACCTTCGGGTCTCCGTTCATTTTAACCCCTGTCCTCTTCAACGAAAAGACAGTTTTTTAATGGAAAGGTACATCAGGGGGACAGTCCAACATCATGCAAAACTATACGAATGAAAGCCAGCCCCTCTTCAAATACTGCTATCAAATGCCACAGGCTTCGTGAATTAGAAACTGTTATGAAATAAAACAAAAGCCAAAGTCTCCGTGGTCTAAAACCCATTACAAAAAATGCCATGTGGCTTTGGGGAAAACACAGGAAAGGACTTCAAAACAGTGGCGAGTGAGGCAGGCCCACGGGGACGGCGCGGTCTGTTTGCTCAAGTGCGGGGATACACACTCCAACATCCCGTCCCGCACGCCGGGAACGGACCGCTGTTTGACATCTGGCTGCTGGAGCACAGCACGCCGCAGCCGGGAGTCGCGAACCGCCGCCATCCCCGGTGGAATATTTAAATCACTCGTTTCTATCGAGCGCCCATCCCCTAAAAAAAAAATCCCCGGCGCGCGTGCACACACTCATCCACACCCCCAGCCAGAACAAAGAGGGGTCTGGACTTCCCCCGTGTGCACAAAAGGCGGGTGGGTGCAAGACAGGCAGGCAGACAGACAGACAGACAGACTGATGCTCAGACACTGCCGCCGCTCCCCTGGCGGCGGGGACGGGCGGCGGATGCGAGGGGAATAGACACGGCGCCGGGACCCGCGGCCCACGGAGGCGGGGGTCATCGAGGGGGTCACCTTGGCGCTCGCAGGCCGAGGGGGCTCCTCCGGTGCGTCCGAAGCGCGCAGCAAATCGTGTCGCAGGTGGGCGCCAAGGCCCGTGGCGGCGGCAGCGAGGGGCTGTAGCCGCGCGGGAGGGGCTGGAGGCCGGGGGCGCGCTCGGCGCCAGGTGAGCGGCGGGCGCCAGGTGAGCGGCGGGCTGGGCTGGAGCGCCCGGCTCTGCCCGCCCGCCCGCCGGGTTCGCACGCTCCCCGCATGCGCGCGCGCTCGGCCCCACGCCCGCCCCGCTCGCTCCCGCACAGGGTTGCGGCGCTCGCACCCACAGGTCGGGGCTGCAAGGGTACGCGGGCGAAGGGGTGTTCCCCGGGCCGTGAAAGCCCTGCACCGCCCTCGGGGAGTGGGAGAACCTGGAGGCCGAGAAATGCACCGTCACGCATGCTGCCCGCCGCCCCGCATTCCAGCCCCGCTGGCGGTCCAGCGCTTGCACGCACCGGCAGGCGGCCAGGGAGCGCTGCCTGGGAGCCCCGTGACCTACTTCGTTCCTGAGAGCTCCCTGGGGAGTCCCAGCCGCCAGTGGCCTCTTCTCTCCGCCTTTCCCTAAACTGCTACCTACATTCACGGTCAAAAGAATTGCTTAGGGTAGTATTCAGGACTCGTAGCAGGAATGTGTGGGGTGAGCAGGTTAGGCACTCAGATCTTTAAAGCAGCAAAATGCGCAGCCAGCTGTCCTAGAATTGCCCTTGACCACATTGCATCCCAATTCCAAAGGGGTCCCTTTCCTCAGGTGTGCCGGGGCCCGGTTCATTGTTACTTTTCCCCGGGAACATTTGCTCAACTGGGTATACAGTGTGGCTATGTGAACCATCGTTGGTAACATCAACTTGCACTTATTAAGTGCTCCTTGAGCTGTATTTTCAAGTGGAAATCATTTACTGAGTTTCTGCAGAAGCTTCCTGCAGGCGCTGGCCAAAACCCAATTCATTTAGGTACTGAAGTAGCAGTGTTAATTTATTTTTCCATTTCAACACATCAACAGGTTCTAAGATTGAGATCCTGATAGCAGGCTGCTCTTATGACTTTCTCTGGATACAAAAACCAGAGCACCTAATAGATCTTAAGTTGAAAGACGGCCTCCCAGGTCAAAGATGGGAGAAGGAAAAGTCCTGAAATTCTGGTCTTTCCCTGTCAGCAGAAGGTTTTTCCAGCTACCTTTCTTCACATTCGCTGAGAGGCTCCTGTACCAAATAGCGATGGTCTGCAGAGCACAGGACCTAGAATTCCTTCCATTATTCTCTAACTGCGCCGCTTCCCCCTGGTTCTCACTGTTACTCTTTACCCCAGCCTTGCAAGCTCACCCACCCTTGACATCCCTTTTTCCCCTCCTTCCTTCCTCCCATTAATCAACTCCAGCCTCTGCAAGACCTTTTCAGCTCTCCCTGCTTGCCTGTTCTCAACTACAGATCAGTAGTTCTGGGATAGGGCCCCCATTCTGTGTTTGGAACCCTCTCTCCCAGTGATCATGATGCTGCTGATCTGTGGACCACACTTCGGCAAGCAAGGTTCTGTAGAGTTTTCAGAATTGCTTGTAACTGATGGAAAGTCGTTAGATGCCTGTACCTGCCAAGAACCATGCTAATGCTAGGCATGCCAACTCAGATATGTGCATGGTCTGATGGTGACAGACGCATAAACCCACAATGACACCAGGCAGCAAATGCTGTAATAAATGGATGGACTTCCTCCTCTCAAGTGCTATGTGATGAATCAAAGCATTTTTAGAAAAAGCAATGAAGAGTAGTCATTTAAAATACACATAGCAATTTCAGCACGCTACAATTCAAACTACCAGCCAAAGTTTTAGGAGCCTCACATCAGCAGGGCAGTTTAGGGATAGCAAAGGCATTTCATCAGCCAGACATTATTGTGGTCAATAGCACTAACCTACAGAGCTTTCAGTAGAGGAATTTATCTCTTGTTTAATGTCTTTAGAAATGGAAGGAAGGAAGGAAGGAAGGAGGGAAGGAAGGAAGGAAGGAAGGAAAGAAAGAAAGAAAAAAGAAAGAGAAAGAACGAAAGAAAGAAAGAAAAGAATTGAGGATGGGGGAAGAGGAAAGATAATGAGGTGGGTGGCAGAGGTATGTGTGTTTCTGCAGTGAAACCTAGAAAAGGTTTAAGGAAGAAACAGGACAGTTACCTCTGCATTCATGGTTCTATTCAGTTACCCTTCCCCTTGAATGATTACTTGTAGCAAAAAGAATGTCAGCTTTACTGTACGTCTAATTCTATGCTCATTGATGTGTTCGGTCTTTTGTTGCTAAGGGGCGGAAATCTAATACAAGCTAGCTTAAGAAAAAAAAAAAGGGTGTTGTCTGGCATGTCTGGGAAGGATCCATGCAGTGGTTCACAGAGAAGAAGGAGAAGCTGCAGGAACACAAGTCTACCTGTGTGCTGAGACTCCTGGTCAGTCCCTGTCCCTGACTTATTTCTTGTCTTTGCTAGGCTCAAACTGTCTTCTCCTAGACAAGTATCTCCCATGCAACTGTGACGGTGGCTCAGGCTGCCCCTGGCTTGCATGTTGAGACATATTCCTAGCCAATGAGAAGAATTCCCAAAGAACTGGCCAACCTGGTGTGGACCTAGCTCTGAACCAACCATGCAGCTAATGGGAAGGGGTGAGTCAGTGGCCAGGCCTGGATCATGCGTAGAGTTCTGCGACGGCATTTCCCTTTGAACTTCACGGAAAAGGCACTTCCCTAGAAGGAAAAAGTAAGGTGGGACATGGGGTGAGGAGATACTGGGTGCCCTCTACAGCTTGGAACATGGTCGGCAGACAGGGTTTCGCGGCCTCTGTAATGTGGGTCATGAAGTAGCTGTCTGGAAGACTGCTTCTCAGTGTTTTCACCACTGTTACAGGACACTGTAGCAGATGGCTTCAGTATGTGACAGTTATTGTCTTTTCATTCCTTATCTTTTTGTCTTTTTTTTTATAACTTTGCAAGAAATTATAAACCTACAAGCATGATCTGGCATTTTCACAACTATGCTAACAATTACTGTTTTGTGAGAAAAAAGCCCTGTGTTTGTCTTAATCTAGGCGATGTCTTTGCCAATTTCACCTTCTACCTGCATCTACTAACCCTTCTGGATAATTGAGTCTGTAAGTCACAGGCTGTCCCAGATTACTGACTGGAGTAAGTCAGACCTGAGCCAGTACTGTATGGTGTCCATGGTGTCAAAATGTCACTAGTCTGCTTCCTGTCTGCGTTGTCGATTATTAGTCAGTTTCTCTCTCTATATATTTAATCGATGCACTGATCTGGATCAGATCGACCATATTTTCTTCTGCCTAGCCAAAGGTCTATATCACACCTGAGATTAAAGCATAACCCCAAATTTAAGTTTCATTTTTATTAATTATTTTACAGTTAATTTTATTGCAGAAACTGCTTGTTTCAGAAGTGTACAGTATGATGAAGAGATACTAAAAGAACCCAACCATCTTGAGAAATAGAACATTATTGGCAGCCTAAGGCCTTCCTTTTGCCCTCTCCCAGTCATTATCCCCACAGGAAGAAGGAAACCACTATTCTACATTTGGACACCGTAGATTAAGTTTACCTGGTTTTGAACTTACATAAGTGGATCATATGCCGCATATACTATTGTGTCTAGCTTCTTTCACGCACCACAGTTTCTGTGAGATGTATTGATGTGATGCATGGAGTAGTAGTTCCTATTAGTAATTAGTAGTAATTGCTATGTAATATTCTATTGTAGAATATACCACGGTTTTTTAATCCACCCTCTATTAATCAACATGGGGCTGTTTTGACTATTGCAAATAAAACCATGATAAACATCCTTGCACATGTCATATGATGCTCGTAGTTATATATTTCTATTAGGCGTATCCCGCAGAATGAAGAATTCCTCCATCAAATTATACTTTCATATTTAACACTCTATTTAAATAAATCCTGGCTGCAATTCAAGGACAATGAGAGGCCTACGAAAAAATCTTAACGTATCTGTCCTTTCCCCCTTTGTAAGTCCCTTTAAACTTTGAATAGAGGAGGAACATATTTCATGAGCAAATCGAAGACAAAGAACAAAAGGAAACACCACTGAAAATATTTAGTCTGAGGGTCTGTGTGAGAAAGGAGAGCTCTGCTGTCAGTGCTAACATTGTCTTATTTCTATATATATTTTTGTGTTTTTAAAACTGTATTAAACTTTGAATGTCTTTTTCTGATTATAAAGTAGGACATATTCATTACAGAAATTTTGGAGGCTGCAACTAAAATTAAAAAGTAAAATTACCTGTACTCTCACTTCTAGAGATAGTCACTGGGAACTTCTGTTATTATTAGTTTTCTATTCGTTTATGTGGAGTTTATTTTATGGAAGTATAACTCAGTTTTCTTCCTTCCTTCCTTCCTCTCTCCCTTCCTCCCTCCCTTCCTTCGTTTATATCTCTCTCTCTCTCTTTTTTCCTCCCTCTCTCCTTTCCTTCCCTCCTTCCTTCTTTCTATTTTTGATACTCACCTGATGATACATTTATTGATTTTAGAGACAGAGGAAGGAAGAGAGAGAGAGAGAGAAAGAGAGAGAAAGAGAGAGACATCGATGTGAGTGAGAAACATCAGTCAGTTGCCTTCTTCATGCATTCTGACTGGGACTGAACTAGAAACCGAGATGTATGCCCTGATCAGGTATCAAACCCATAACCTTTTGGTGTATGGGATGCTGCTCCAACCAACTGACCCACCCGGCCAAGGCTAAACCCAGTTTTCTTTTAGGCATGCAGGAGCATCCCTTGCCTCTCCTATCTGATAGGCTGAATTTGTGGAACACCCACCCACCAAGTGCTAGGCCCTGTGTTGGGAGCTCTTCACTTCCTGGAAGTTAGGAAGCACTCCACCACCAGGAGCTTGTTGAAGGCTTTCATTAGGGAAAATGGCCAGCCGGCTGCCTCCCACAAAGCCTCACATTAATTTCTCTGCAAATTTACTCTAGTTTAAGGAGATTTATATTAACCAGGCTGATATGTTCTTGTCAAAATGCCAACTATCATCTAAATA